AAAAAATATTTTAAATTCACTTAGTGAAAAGGCATTTCATAAATAAGCAAACAAGTAGTTGACCTAAATATATCTCATAGGATTTGTTTCTTTTATAAGGCCAGATTACTAAGTAGAAAACTGGGCTAGGAAGCCTTTTCTGAGATGAATCAAACCATATATACACTATCCTCCTTGGTGAAAGACAAAATTGCTCATAAATGGAAATGGAATTTCATATTCCACAAAGCTATAATCTCATATTCTGTAGAGTTTATGATCGTATCATGTTCAAATATGAGGAAACCTTAAAATTCAGTGTGTCACCCCAGTGTTTCCATTGGCTGTGAGCAGGAGGGGCGAGGTAACTAAGACAGAGCCAGCACCTCATGCTCAGGTCCCCTTGGGCCCAGGAGTGAGGGGTGGCTACTGCAGTACCCCAGACTATGGATCCTGCTGGGGAATCAAACCTATCGCATGCATTCAGTGACCTGTTAGGTAGCTCGTTGCATGTCCACTGGTGTGAAAAGCAGGGGAGGCCTGGGTGTCGGGAGCCTTTTGGTGCATCCTTTTCTCCCTGTCATGTCTCCCACAGGCCAACCTGCCCCTGCTGCAGCGTGAACTCCTCCATTGTGCAAGGCTGGCCAAACAGAACCCTGCCCAGTACCTCGCCCAGCATGAACAGCTGCTTCTGGATGCCAGCACCACCTCACCTGTTGACTCCTCAGAGCTGCTTCTCGATGTGAACGAAAACGGGAAGAGGCGAACTCCAGACAGGTGAGTAGGAGCAGGACTGTGGACTGAACATGGACTTACTCTTTTGCCAGTGCTGTGAAGGACATGCTTATGTCCAAACTGCTGACCTATACTTTTTTTTTTTTAAAGATTTATTTATTTGTTCATACAGAACTGGGGTACAGGCCAGAGGCTCAGGGGTGGTGAGAAGCTTCACCAGAGACAGAGCGGGGAACAGAACAAGCAGATCTAGAAGTACACTGCTGAGGGGAGCAGCGGGCGGGTCAGGAGAGGTCTGCCACGCCATGTGGTCACCTCCGGGGCAGGCGGGAATTGAACTCATGCGGGAGTGGCTTTAGCTTTTCAGTGCTGTGCTTTAACCCGCTGCGCCACCAGAGAGGGCCTGACCTACACTTTTTGTGAAGCAGCAGGAAGCTAGAGTGACCACCTTGGGAATATCGCCCTGGCCTGAGGTGCTTCTGAGTGAATATCTGCCCCTTGTCAGTCAGTCAGTAAGCTCTTGTGCACATTGATCTTTGTCACTTGCATCAAAGGGAAAGGTGAAGGTAAATGATGCTCAGATGTGCCAAGTGGAGTGTCCCTGAGGACCACACAGTCGAGATTAAAAGACCCATCACATAACCCAGACCTATCACAAATTTTAGCATTCAGTGTTAAGAAATTTGCTGTTCCACGTTTCCTCAACACATTATGATTTTAAAAGCTGGCCTTTATGTGTTTGTTACTCCATAAACAATGCGAATTCAGTAACTAATTTTGGCTTTCTGTGAACTGAAAGAAAGATTCTGGGATGTTAGATTAACTGAGTAAGGATAAGAGTTAAGTAATAGGCTAATAGAGGACATTTTTGCTGAACTGAAAAATGTTATTTATCAGCCAGTATTTATTCTGCTCTTATAAACGAAATTTTAAGAAATATAAACTCCTTTAAATCTTACAAAGTAGTTGTTGAATAGGGGATACTCGTGAAACTTCCCTTGTTAAAATTGTTTTGCCAGATACTTCATTTTTATATATAATTGTTTTCTAATGCAGGAATGTAAAGACTTACTTACATCTTGCAGAATATTTGTAAAATATGAGAATCTTAAAGTGAAATAGAATTTGAAAACTTGTCATATGCTTGGTTTCTTCCGACTTACCCATTTTCTCTTTCTACATTTGATCAGACATGAGTGTAACAGCCTCTGAGAAGTTAAGTGGCACAATTATGTTTCAGATTCCTGGGAACTTACAAATCTTGGAACTGCTTAGAGACATCTATCTGTGACTGACTTAGCTCCCTTAAATGTATTAGCTGCTTTGCAAATCAGAATGCTATTAAAAGCCAGTCAGTTTACATACAGCTATTACATAATCCTCTGTTAAGCAGTTTTTATGTTAAAATCTCTAGAATTATTCTCCTCAAATGGGAACTTGTGTTTAAAATTCCTAAGCAAAACATTAGTTTACTTGTGACCCATCTCCATAGATGACCCACCACCACTGCTACTTTTTGCAAATCATATTCCATTGGTCATATTTAAACATTTAGGTTTTATGGGAAACTGCTGAGTGGCATGTTTGCATGATGTGGAAAATGAAGTAGTACAAGGATAGATGTCTTACCTGTGTGCTTCTAAAGCTTAATTTACCTGCTCTGCAGGAAATCGTACTGTATGCAGGTGCTGAGATGGTTTAGCTTCATTTTTCTATGATAATGTGGTGGAAGCATTATCTTCTACCACAGTAGAGACTAGGTGGAAAATTGGAAATAAGATTTGTGTGGGTGGGGAAAGGGTAACAGCAGAAGGTCTAGATAGTTATACTAGATGTAAAGGTAATTCTCTAGGCAAAATTGAAATTGAACACAATCTATTCTAGAAACCCTAATGCTCAAAAACCATAACAGTGAGCATGAAAACTTTTTTCATTCACCTTTTGTATACTCCCGGTTGTTTCCCTACTCACTGGTTCTTTCCCAGTGTTTTCTTTGAAGGTACTATGGCTTTAAACTTGCCTTGGACTATGCTGAGGTAAGCCCCCTGAGCTATGTACTAATTGATAGAGGAATTTTTAAATTCCACAGATACTTTGCATTTTTGTTTTGATGCCCAGTAGCTGTGTGTACCTGCATGCTTGCATTAGCCTAATAAAACTCTCTTCAAAGAGACTTCAGTCTAACTCCTTGGGCTTCTTTACAGTCCATTGCTGGAGTCAGAATTTACACCATTGCTCTTTGGATAGAACATTCTTTTCCACGTGGAACCCTGAAGTGTGTGTTATAATGGAAAGATGGCAAATGGATTTCCTTAGAGTTAGGAGCAAGGGTAATGAGAATATGTTGTGTAAATACATTTGTATCTTGTGGGAATTTGATCAGAGCCAAGAAAATATGGGCCTCTGCAGTATTTTTTTTGCATACATTTTCTGCATCTTGTTTGCATATGCATTTTCCTCTTCTCTGATTATTTATCTGTATATCCAGATCTACTATATGAAATTTTATAGAGTATGGAGCTGTCTGACAGCAGAGCTTTTTTTGTTTTAGTGAATGTTTTGTTGGTGCATATGGTCTGATACGGATGAGCAGCCACGGTGAGATTTTGGAGTCTATTAAACTGGCTCATTAAAAAGATCAATCTGTTTCTGTAATAACACTGGGAACCATCAGTCACTAAAAGAGGGAAAAACTGACACCTGAGGAGAAAACACATTTTGGTAATTTGTTCATGACATGTCACGAACAAAAGAGCACTCTATATTTTGTTTACAACTTTGGGGGATTAAATTCTGTGACGATTGCTGATTTAATCTACTTAACAGTCGTCACAAATTTAACTTTGCTCTTATCCTTAACTATGATTGTCACTGGTTATATTTTTTCTTTTTAAAAAACATTATATTATCCACAGAGAAATGAACATTCTGGGGAAGCTGTGGAATCTCTTTTTTCCCCTTGTAGAAGAGTGATATTTATTCCCTTTTAAATTAGTTCTGAGGTGAGTCCCTGAATAACTCTACTGAATTTGAATACTGAATACTATTGCTTCTCCTAAAATATTAGAGGAAGGGAACAGAAAATTCTGATTTTACTCTTTGTTAATATGTAAGTTTGTTTTTTATAGTAGGCCTTTATTTTGCCATCCTGTGGTGAGGGGGGAAAAAAAAACTGAAGAAGGGGAAATGATCCTTTTTTTTTTTTAAAGCCAGTTAAGTGAAGGTAAATACTTAAAAAGAGTGAAACTTAATAGCTTTCTTTTAGATTGCTTACATTTAAACAATACTACATTTCTTTGAAACTGCAGAATGGATAAAAATTATTCAGGTTTAAAAAATTTGTGCTATGTTAATTGTTGTTGCTGGTTTCTTTTTCTTCACAGCTTAAGAATCACAGCCTTTTTGTTTCAATTTGTCTTTAATACTGTGTTCTCCCCTATTGCTCTAATTGTCTCACTCAGAATATTCCTTGCCTAAGAAGTCAAGTTAAATGATCCTTGTTTATGTATGGTTTACATTACATTTCTCTGCCCCATTTTTGCAAATGATTGGCGTTAAATATTATCCCCCTTTACTACATATGATCAGTCTGTTGCTAAGTGAACCTCTTATTGTAGGCTTTAGGGATCACATCTTGCTCATTTTTATATTCCCACTATACATAGGCTAGTGTGTTACACATTCCAACTATCTAAAACAAAGCATGGTATCCCCCTACCCTCCACCTCCCCAAGCACATGACAAAAGCATTGAGCAGGTGGCTGAGGTGATTCTGTGAAGCTCAAATTGTAGTCTTGGAGATCCAGGTATCTAACTGTATGTCTAGGGTGACAAGTGTCCACCTGCATCTTATTTACTCCTAATGGTAGCATGTTGCTAGGAGCTTACTCCTGGGTGCTTGTTTAGTGATGAAAAAAGATTGAAAGTGCTTCGTTCCATATGGCCCACCACAATTGTCCTACCCCTCGAGAGAGATCTCTGTTTTTACCCACCTAAAAACCCTATTTCCAGAGCGACTGTAAAACAAAAACTACCTTAGGTTGTTGTGAATAATTAGGTTTGCTTTCTCTTTAAGGCAGCCAGGGAATCTGTACTATATTTTGTTTCAAATACTTCATTCAACACTAATAGAAAGATGTAATGTTAAACTCTTCTAAATCCACATTGTCCCTAGTAGTTCCTGATGAGAACTTTTATTGTTTTTACTTTGAAAATATGACAAGAATGATTTCACTTGCCTTTGCTTCAATGTCTAGCCCTCCCATGGCACCTTAAGAAACATTGTGTGCTCGAAAAAGGAGATGTTTTCAAGTTATTCATGTCTTCAAGATTTTCTTTAATAGACCTGTTACCACCTGAGATTAGATGTAGATTTCCAAAAATACACAAGTAAAGACTATGGCATATCAACACCCACTCTGGCTAAGACACTGGCAGAGTGGACAGTGGTATACTCAGTGCAGTGATCCCAGGACAGGCACAGAACATGGCTTAGAGAATAAAGTTGTAACGTGACTTCCAGGTTTCTAGAAGGGTGACTGGATTGAAGGTTGCTGGCATAATTGATGTTATAGGAAGTTCCAGAGAAAGATGGAAAGATGAGGTCTGTTTGCAATACCTGTGGAAACTTGAAGAAGTGAGCAAGTAAGGTATGTAATTTATTTGTAGCCAGACAATGATTAGAATTTTTAAGAATTCTTGTGGCCTTTTAACATTTATTATGCTGTAAACAGTTTGTCTATTCCTAGAACAATCTTCCTAATGATGCCTCCTTCCCCACCTAAACATTTTAAGAAAAAAAGCTACTTATTTCTGTCATGTAGGAATCTATTCTGTTTGTCTTGATTTTGTATTGTTTTCATTCTTACCTATTTCATTGAATGTATTATAGTGTTGGGATTGTCATATGTACTAGCCGATCATGGCTTTTAAGGTGTTTTATAGAGAGGATGGTTTTTCTTTTTTAAGGCATTATCAAATAGTCAGTTTACAGTCTTCTGTTCTTGAGGAATTGGGAGGGAAAGTCCACCAAAAGTGAGGTAAAATAAAATAACTAGGTTACCTCATAATTTTTGAGGTTTAAAATTTTTGTTTAACATGTATTATTTCCTATTTTATGGGGCTGGAAAGTGAAGCCAGAATGTTGGTCTCAAGGTTGAGTCTTAAAAGGCCCTCTATTCTAAAAACTGTCAGAATCTAAGAGAAGCGATTAGGGTTTAAATAGCGAAGGAAAATTTGTCCGGGAAGGGAGATACAATGTTCTTTGGTTGACTTGAAAAACAAACCAGAAATATCTTACAGAGACCATTGGGATGTGATTGACTTTCCACTAGAATTTGAGTTATTTCAAGAGCATGCTGGTATGGGACAATGAAAAATATTTGTTAGTTTTGCCTCCTGAAAGGGCCACAGATAAACCTGCAGATTTGGAATTTGCCCAAACAAGTGAGGTGTAGATAGTTGTAGGTATTTCTAAGTTGGAAACAGACCAACAGCAATTAAGCTGTTTTTGTTACCTTTCTGGACATGCCTCCTTTGAATAGGGTTGGCCTTATAAATAGACATGAGTGACTCAAGGAAGCACCAGGGAGACCTTTCATAACTTTATTTCTGTGGGACGTGAATGTTTAAATGCTTTGCTGTTAAACTACAACCACCTCTGTGAAGTAATGAGCTTTATTGTTTCAGTAGTTATGAGACCCAGGATGGGACAGCAGGGTCCTGACAGAAATGTCAGAATGGACGCAGTACCTGGCCCTGTTTTAGGCTTTATTGCCCTTGTTTTGGGACAAAAGGGAAAAACAATCTGTATCCCCCCCCCCCCAATGAATCATATAAGTGTTAGCACTGATCAGAGTGCTAATATGAGGGTGATGATAAATCACATAGCCAACCCCTGCAAATTACTAGATCTTGCAGTGGTGTATATTATCCTTTTCATTAGCGGAGACAAAACCAGTAAGTTTGAGGTAGTTTGACCTAACTGAATCAAAGATGTTTTGATATTCAGAAATGCAACAGGGGGTGCTATCAGATACTTTATACACTCCTTTCTATTTTTATTTTTTAAAAAAGAGCTATAAATAATAAATTGTTCAAAGCAAGGGACAGAAATTCTCTTGGCTAAAGTGGTTGACTAAGACATACTTTGGCTAGAGGCCCATCAGCCTTGTGCGTTTTGATATGCGTTACCATGGTATTTAGCTGTAAATATAGAATAATTGAATTGCAGAGTTTTCAGACTAGAAGGGACCTCAGAAATCATCTAGTCCAGTGGTTTTCAAACTTGATTTTAGCAGCAGACTTCTTCCTTTGAAATGAACCCTATGTGGAACCCCAATTTATACAATAGATAATTTTGAGTGGGTTCCTCTGGCCCTTTGACTCTTGATCCTTTGGGGGAAAAGTTCTTCATTGCTTGCAAATTCCCTCAGGTGGCACAGTTTGAAAACCACTGATCTAGTCCAACCCTTTCGTTTTACAGATGAGCAAACTGAGGTCCAGAGAGGTTAAATGGCTTGCTCAAGGTCACACAGCTAGTCATGGAAGAGCCAGGACTATATCTCAGGTCTCTTGATTCCCAGTCCAGTGCTCTTTCCACTACACCACACTGCCAGTAAGGTAGGTGCTGTGTTAGCATTCTGTTCATAGCTACTAATAGTCTCGGTATTTTCCAATTGATTTATTCTGGTAATTTGCATTGAAGACTGAAGTGTATTTTTCAGGAATATATAGGTTCTGAAAATACAGGTAGAATTACATAGCTATACTCTTAGAAGATGAATCAATACCTAGAATGTTTCCTTTCACTTTAACAATTATTTTAAAGCAATGCATTTAGGTAATGTCTGAGCTATATTGAACATTTTAGTCTGATCCCAATGATCAATATGTATGGAGTCAGTATTTAGTGCAGGCCTACTTTGATGGGAGTATTGAGACTTCTGGTCACCACCCACACTGGGACCATACCCTGCTGTTATTACCATATTGGTCAGAAGTGTGTATGGCTTAGGCATTTAGGGAGAGTATTTATTTCACATTAAATTCTACAGAGTTCTCCCTGGACCTTTATGTGTCTTCTGTCTTCTGTCGCTATTATCCTTCTTAACGGTGTGTATACTTTGTCACTGGACTCCTCCCTTAAGGGAGGTTCCTGTTGTCCCGGATGATCTCTGTTGTCAGTTTCCAGTTAATTCCCTCCATATTAACAAATAAAGTCTGTTAGATGCTAGGAAAGGAGACAATTTGTCTTAAGAGCCTCTATGCTACTGTTTACAATCTAAAACAAAAAAAATCATGGAAAATCTGCAGTTACTGTGATTTTTTTTTTTTTTTTAGAATTCTGATGGGGAATCTTTCCCAAGAATCTAGATCTAGGACAGATGATTCTTAACTGTGAGGAGAACTAGCTAGTAAGTGAAAAATTAGTTTGAGATCTGTGTGAGTATATTAAGTTTAAGATAGACTCAGTGACAATGTTAGCCCTGTTCTGTTTGATAATGTAGGAGTGGCGATTCCATCTTACAGTTTATTTCTTCCAAATGCCAATTTCAGGGTTCTTTGTATTAAGGTGTTCTCTTTCTGCCTTACAATCCATTCACCCCAGACTGGTCACAAAAACTTTGGGCATTCTGTTTCCTCAACTTTAAAACAAGGGGGTTCAGGAGCCTCTCTGGTGGCGCAAGGGGTTAAGTTTCAGCACTGTGAAACTCTAGGCAGCCACTGCAGCACAGGTCCATCCCAGACAGGCAGCTGCAGACCCACAAAGCAATCCCCAGCCAGGAAGCTAATCTACACGGCACAGCTGACCTCTCCAGTCTCACCTGCTGCTCCCCTCTGTAGTATATTTCAGTAGATCTGCCTGTTCTGCTCTCCATTCTGTTCCTGGTGAATCCTATCACACTCCCCTCCCCCATACCCCTGACCTACAGCCCAGTTCTTGTATGCATAAATAAATCTTTTTTTTTTTTAAAGATTTATTTACTTATTCATACAGAACTGGGGTATAGGCCAGAGATGCGGGAGGGTGAGAGGATTCACCAGGGACAGAGTGGGGTGCAGAATAGGCAGATCGACGAAGTAGACTGCTGAGGGGAGCAGCGGGCAGGTCAGGAGAGGTCTGCCACGCCATGTGGATCTCCTCCGGGGCAGACGGGGGATCGAACTCATTAGGAAGTGGCTTAAGCTTGTTAGTGCAGTGCTTTAACCCGTTGGGCCACCAGGGAGGGCCAAAACAAATCTTTTTTAAAAAAACAAATCAAGTGGGTTTTGTGGCTAATTCTGAATGACTGCTGATTAGTCATCTTGGGACTCCAGGTAATGCCAAACATTGCATTCTTTTATTTTATTAGTCGAGTTTGAGTTTAATCAGCACTTTTTTTAAATTGATTTTTGCATAGAAGAACTGGGGTATAGGCCAGTGGTGCAGGTGGTGAATGGATTCACTAGAGACACAATAGGGAGTAGAACAGACAGATTTTCTGAAAATATACTGCTAAGGGAAGCAGCAGGAAAGACAGGAGAGGTTTGCTGTGCCATGTGGATTAGCTGCCTGGCTGGGAATCAAACTCAGGCTGTAACAGTGATTGCTTTGAGACTTAACCCCAGGCCACCCAATCAACTTTTTCATCTAATAGAACTTTCCAGAAAGGTGGTAATGGTCTGTCTCTCTGAAGTCCAGGACTTCAGCCACTAGCTACATATGATAGTTGAATACCTGAATGTGGCCACTGCTGCTAAAGAACTGAATTTTCAACTACACTTCATTTCATTTAACTGTTTTCAGCAGCCACATGTGGCTTCTGTATTGGTGTCCTCTGACTTAAAAGATGCCAGGCTGGATAAATAGCTGTACCTTAAGCATTCATCAAGAGAATGATTCTGTTCCTCCTTGACAAACCTTCACCATGTACCATCTCAGGGTAATTTGTTAGAAATCAAGTACTCTTTTGAACATAAGGTTTATGGACAGAGGGAAATTGGGTCTTCTCCATCGGCGACCTAAACTACATAGTTTCAACTGAACAGAGGTTTGCTGATTTGAGAAGTGAAACATTTTCTCCTGTGTACAGTCTTGTGATCCCTTAGGCCTCTCATGGGTTTCAGTGCATTCCCATGGGTCTTCTGGGAAGCTGACTTTAGAAAGTTTTTGGACACTAAAGAATATTCTGTTTATGTTACAAGTTCAAATGTGAGTGTGTGAACTATGTTGGTTTCTGAGTACATTATGAAATAAACTTTTTCTTCCCTCCCCCAACCCAGAACCAAAGAAAATGGCTTTGACAGAGAGCCTTTGCACTCAGAACATCCAAGCAAGCGACCATGCACTATTAGCCCAGGCCAGCGGTACAGTCCAAATAACGGCTTATCCTACCAGCCCAACGGCCTGCCTCACCCCACCCCACCTCCACCTCAGCATTACCGTTTGGATGATATGGCCATTGCCCACCACTACAGGGACTCCTATCGACACCCCAGCCACAGGGACCTCAGGGACAGAAACAGACCTATGGGTAAGCCTGAAGAATCTGCTCGCTTCTTATGAGATCAAGTGCTTCAAGCCTCGCATCATTACTTCTCAACTGACCTTGAGGCTTGAAATCTGTGATGGGGTAAAAATTCTCTTTGTATTGTCTCCTTTATCAGAAAACTTGGTTAGTATTAATAGGTTCTTTAACAGCTGACCCTATTCAATTATTTACATTCTTGACAACAGCTTAACTTTTTCTGGGGATAGAGGTAAAGGGAAAGTGTAACCTCTAAGTTAATGTAAAACCCTGAATGGTTTTGGCATGAGAGATTTCATATGCACTGTGCCTTCCACATACTTTTTTTTTTAAATCTTTTTCATTGTGTCTTATGTCCGGCAGTCTCCATGATAGTTTGGATTTGAAAAATGTGATAGGCCATGATTCGTGTGGCTTAATTCAACAGATGTTCTTTGAGGTACTTTTTTGCATATCTCTATAAAATCAGGTACCCTTTACTGCAGCCGGTTGTTGACACTTTCCTGATGTGGGGTATTTGGCAAAAGGAGAGCACAAATAAAGGAGTATAAGCAGAAAACCTAAGCAGAGCTGAGGATGCAGGCCTCACAGTGGTCGGCAACCAGTTATCTGAGACTTGCAGCACAGGGACAGTTTTTTAGGCACAAGCAGAGATAATCACGATGAGCAGAAGTTTGTATTAGTTTCCTAACCAGGTGACAAGTAAATAGGGACTGCGTATATGAAGTCCTTTTTTCCTTTCTACCCTTACCCTCCAAAAGTTCAGAATTCAGAAAGAGAGGTTTAGGCTGAGGAGTACGCAGGCCTTTGCTGTGAGGTGATACAGTAGCTCAGCTTCCTCACAGATGATTAGCCATAAAATCTGTGCTTTCTTAATGGTCAGTGTGTTTTCTTAATAACTTCTGCTCTGGAAGAGATCACAAAGTGTTTATTTTCAGTCTGGATTGATATTTTGACCCCCAAATCATATGTCATAACACCCCCAACTCAGCAAAATCCTTGCCACTTACTATGACTCAGTGCCCTCAAACCATGGTTGGTTATGTTCAGCTATAAGTTGAGTCACCGGATCATTTATAAGATCAATTCAAGTTACCCTCTTTTTATAGGTGTTAGGAGATGGCCAGTTTCTTAGGCAGCAAATGCTATTTTTATGAATTATTATTTCCACTAATATTCTATAATGCACTAAAAGTAAACAGCAAGAAGGTAACTACATGTATTTACAATTATATTCTCATCTAGTAATATTTAATAGCCCTTTATTAATATAACTGTACCTATTGGTGTCATGATTTTTCTTCAGACCATGTTCCTTACCTTTTAATTATATTAGCTTATAAAACTAATAGCACTAATCTTTATAATTATGTACCATTACTTAATCATCCCTAAAGTCTGGCAGGGTTTAGTGTGTATTAAAGTAAAATCAAGTCTTGATGTGAGAGTAAAATATCGTGGTGTTATATCAAGCTGACATTTGAGAACATAAGTTATCATAAAGGTTTCCTGAGTCTTAGTCTAATTTTTAGATGTCTATTAGATGTAGAGACATATATACTCACTAGAATCCTTTAATAAAGTACCTTTACAAGCAGCATTAGTTTATAAGTAAACTTGAGTTTTTGCCTATTTAGCAACCAATTTAAGACTCAATATTAGTATCAAATCTTCTACAAATGAAAAATGTGCTTTAATAATTATGAGCTCTCCCTCCTTCCCTGTGCATCCCTCTGCTATAATGCTATAAATAAAAAAAATTGCTTTGGTTATGAGTGTTTAATTATCTGAAATAGAATAAATATTTTTTCTTTTTGAAGATTTGGTTATACCTAACAACCTCCAGAGTTCAAAAAGCAGCAAATGTCCTAGTTTTATTTTTTTTTCCCAGGAATTGGGCTCAAAATATTTCTAATGTACCTTTTTTAAAAAAATAAGATGAAGCTCAGCACTGTTTTGCAGGTTCCAGAATCCCAGTAGCCACAAGTATCTTGTTGCTCATTAATGTTATTCCAGATGTTAAAGCTTAAGACATTATAGATTTAAAAAACTGAATTTTTGAAATCTTTGAGACCTCTGGAGTTAATTCTTTGTCCTTAAAGGCAAATAGCAAAATACATCCATCCTGAAAGTCAGTGCCATGTTTTTATCTTCATTACTCTGGTTATTTTCTGTGATGACTCATTGAAATGGTAGAGCTTTTCCCTAAAACACAGGCAACAAATAAGTCAACAAAAATTACATATTTGCAAACATTTCTACTTGAAATAGTCACAACAAGCAACAATAACTAAGTATGACTTTTCCCAAGTGTATTTTCTATTATGCAAATTATTAGCACATTTGCAGTTTTACTTTGTTACCAATAGGTGGCATTGACAATGTTAACTTTTAAAACGTTACCTCAGAATCTGTTCTAATTAGACAGGAAGGATGCAGTTGTTTCATATTTAGCTTTTTACTTAATCTAAGCAAGAGCTGTCACAAATTGTATTTATGTCCATCAGTTTTCAGCTAAATCCCATTTCTGGGTTGGCTGAGAAGTGTCATGTGATTTATGTTTATTTCTGTAAATGAGCTAGAAGATTTTCTAACCACTCAGACTGCACAAAAAGTGAAGCTCAATGCCTCTTAATGCCTATCGTCAGTGAACTCTTGCATCATACTTTCAGAGAAGGAGACTGAGTATCTTCTCAAACCCAAACCATGCCAGACTTAATTTTCTATGTAGAGTAACAATGAGAATTGGCAACCCAAAAAGAATAGTTCTAATCATTTAAAATGGAAAACAGTGTCATACCCAATGTCTTCCTTTACAATAGAACGGAAGTTGTTTCATTCATAATAGATTTGTAAGAGGAGCAGCTCATCTCCGACTATCTCTGATCAAAGCTTCCCGCCCTGTCCTCTCATTGAGTCACCCTACCCATTTGATTGATTGTTTCCCATTTGGATACACCTTTAGTGCATGTTCAATGGCACGCATGGCTAGCCTGGAGGTGACCGTTGCACAGTGCTATTTCAGCTGTGATGCTAAAGTGTGTTAATGCATAAATTATGCACTCCAACTCAGGATTTTGGGCTTATTGGCATGGATTTGTGATATTTGCCCCAAATTCGATCTGGGATGGTGACTTTTTTTTCCATAAATGATGCCCAATTTATATTTTTTTGGGTAAATTTGAGTGTGTGTCACTTTCATGTTATCCAAGCCTTCTCTTCATGATCTAATTTAATAATGGATATATGTGTGTTGTAAGATTGTGTTCATGTGTACTATGCTGAAATGTGGAAAACTTTGCCTGTTTGTTTTAGAAAAGCACTTCCCTGACCATGTAAAATGGTTTGTGTTGTCTTTATTTTTAATGCAGGGAAGCCACATTTGAAACCACCTAATGCCTCCTTGTGGTTTCCTGTATTTATTAAGAGCTTGGGTATATGTTCACTTTGGAACATTATATGGATAACTAGCTCTGGGGATGGTGTTGCTTGACTCCCTATTTCCTCACTGTGTAAAGGAAAGCTCTAACTAGACAACCTCAAATTCCTTCTAGTTCTAACATTGTTATTATTCTGTGAGCAATCCATTAGGTAATTCTGAATCTGAGTATGACTCATGTCTCCATTCAGAGTCAAATACATATTTACAGTGTTTAGTTTGTCCACTTAGTCTTTACTAAGTACTAAATGCCTGTGTGCAGAAGGATTGTGTATTGAATGCTTTAAGGGTGATTGAGACTTCTTTATATTTGTAGGGTTGCATGGCACACGTCAAGAAGAGATGATTGATCACAGACTAACAGACAGAGAATGGGCAGAGGAATGGAAACATCTTGACCATGTAAGACATTTAGGTTCAAAGTGTTTTGAAAAGATTGAGATTTTATGATAAAATAAAAAATGTGGTGATACTTTCCCCTCCTTATATTCTTAAGGAAAATTTTTAAGTAGGCTACTCAATTTGTTTTCTGCATTGTTATCTAAGCCATGTGTATATGAGAGATGTTAGGTCATGGAAAGAAGAGTCCTGAAAGCCGGATCAATCAGCAGCTTTTGGGGGGGGGGAAGGGGGTGCAAAATGCTCATTTTGGATCTACAGTGATGGGATCAGTATTTGGAAAATGTGTTTCCCTGGCTGTGGGCCTTAAGCTGAAATCTCTTTGTCATGACCCATGTCTGCACCTCCCAATTTGTTTTCATTCCATTGAGTATACTCATCTATTGGGTCTCAATTTCAAATCTAACCTTTGAATAGACTGAAACCTCCAAGAATAAAACACCCTCCTTCACTGTCCTAAGATAGTTTCAGTGTCCACCAAAGTCTTTAAGTTGTGGTGATTGACATGATCTTCCTTCCTCCTACCCCATTTCTCACCTAGCTGTTAAACTGCATAATGGACATGGTAGAAAAGACAAGGCGATCTCTCACTGTACTAAGGCGATGTCAGGAAGCGGACCGAGAGGAATTGAATTACTGGATCCGGCGGTACAGCGACGCCGAGGACTTAAAAAAGGGCGGGAGCAGTAGCAGCAGCCACTCCAGGCAGCAAAGTCCTGTCAACCCAGACCCGGTTGCATTAGGTATTTTTTCTTCACATGAGGGTATTGAACAGTTATTTTTTGTCTGTTATTAACACTGATTTTATTTTTAGCTTGTCTTTTCAAAAATAAGAGGTGCAAGGAGTTTCAGAACAGTAAACATTTGATTTATCATCTTCAGATAGGATTTGTGAGGGAAACAGGAGATGGGTTGAAACACAGGTGGTTATAAAACTTGAACTCTGTTTTCAGTTTATTGTTTAAGCTCCAGACAAATTTTCAAATCTGAACTAGAATTTCATATGCATCACCAAAGTGTTTTTCTTCCTACTATACTTCTTTGGACCCTGCCTTTTAAAAACAAAAAAATATGAGGGCATGGCGTGGGGCATCTGTATATCTTACTGGAGAGTTCTCCTGCGTCTCCACAGGGCCAGGGAGCACTGCACACAGGATTGTGTGTTGTGTGATTGTTAAGCAAGACACAACCTCTGCGATAGTTTGCAGCTATGTCTTAACATTTAATAAAAATAGTTCACCTCCAAATCCCTCCAGGAGGAGAACTCTGAGGCCTAAATGGTTTGCTCACAGCCACTTGAAAATAGCGATAAAGATGTGCTTTTCACTGTATGCTTTAGCCTGAACTTAACATTGTTTAATCATGATTTTATTTCACCTTACGTATGGGACTGTTCATATAGTTGTGTCTTAGCAATTGGGTGCTAATAGTTAGCCATATTTGTCTTATTGTTGGTACTTGGATGTTGTTGGAGATTAAATAGAATAATCCGATTATATGGAAAGAAATCTTATACCGGAAAGAATTTTTCGTTGTCTGCAGACTTTTTCCTAGAGGAAGAATAGGATGTCTACTATTTTGCTGACCTTTGCAAGTAGAGTCCATCTGAGTAAATTTTTGGTCACTGTTCTCTCATCCTGTTTTCTTATTGTTTAGCCCACACCAGGTAGCTTACTTAGGTAGAGGTTTAGTCCATGCTAAACCTCCATGTAAAGTAAAACTAAGAACCAATAGTTGGTTGTCAAAAACTAAAAACTTAAGAGTATATTATGGAAATTGAGTGCATCCATTATCTTTTTTTCTTTTTAATCAAAATTGCCCCTAGCCAGTAAAGTTTTCTTTGCCCTTGTATTTGTCCATTTCATCCTTATCCCTGACTGCTGACTGCCTGTTGCTATAATATTCAGTGAAGGAAGATTCCAAGATACTTAGTTTCCCTCACACACACTGTTCTAAAATCTATTTTACATAAGAGTGTATTTGTCACATTATATTAACAATGAAAATAGGTTTATATTTGATTTGTACCAATATTAGTCCAAAAAGACCTATTTATAGCAGCATAGAATAAACACTTTTTTTTTTTTATTATTTCCTTATTGTGATTAAGAATTGGTTAATGGGCCCTCCCTGGTGGCACACAGGGTTAAAGCACGCACTATGAAATTACCACAGCCACTGCGGCATATTTAGTCCCCAGCCAGGGAGCTGACCCACATGGTACCTCTCCTGACCTACCCGCTGCTCTCCTCAGCAGTGTATTTCAGTAGAGCTGTCTGTTCTGCTCCTCGCTCTGTCTCTGGTGAATCCTCTCATACACCCACTACCCCCGCTCCTTTGGCCTGATCCCAGTTCTTTATGCATAAATAAATCAATCTTTAAAAAAAAAAATTTAAAAATTGGTTAACAATGGTTGAACTGTTTGGAAAAAAAGAAAGATATTTTTACCTGTCCATCCACTGTAGGCAAAAATTGAGAACCTTATACTGAGTCAGACTTTGGGTATAAAAATAGAGTTAATCTGTTCTATTGAACAAATTAATATTCATTCATGTATAAATCAGTACTGTCCAATGAGTGATTACTGTGTGCTGTTAGACATTGTAACAAATGGGAAAATATTTCTTTGTTCTTTCCCTTCAGGAACTTTTGATATAGTGGAGGAATTAGGCAAGGAGATTATTAGTGGTGATGCCACGTGAAATCAGTTCTCTGGACAGACAGAATTAGTATTACTTGCTGTCCATTTTAAAAGAAAAATCTCACAAATTGATAAGATTCCATACCTGAGGGAGTTGTTTTTCAACAGCGAACACAGACCCTTCCTGTGTCTCTCCATTATGCCATCGGGGTTCTGGTGATGCTGATCAGTATTCTTCCCCAGGAAGATACATTCAGTTTCCCTTCTGTGTCCTCAAAAGGATAAGCTTCATTAAAAATTCCAGTCTTATGAGTGACAACACTAATGATACTCTAATGGTGCTTCAGGATTTCAAATTTTTTGGTGAAACTGAAAAGGTAATTTGTCTTTAAGTTTTTGTGGATTATATTATTCAGAGGCTTCAAGTACTACTTCCTTATTTAGATTGTTAAATCAGCCATGTTCTATAGAGTACTGTACTGTTACAGTGCTTATTAAGGAACTACTATAACTTTAGAGTGAACCTGTCAAGAGCCACACAATATGCCAAGTTCTGGCATCAGCAGCTATTTTAGTATTTGTCTTTAGGTAGATTCTTAAAGCCTTGAGTTTTGTGGGGCTGGGCTACAAGAGAACAGGTCATTTGTAATCATGAGCCACTGCCATTTACATTAAATGCTTTCTATGGTGTTGTTTCCCTAGGTTTTGGAAGTGAATAGATGGTTGTGTGTGTTGTGTAGAACTGGAGATTTGGGGCTGGTAAATGTATTTACTGTCTCTGCAAAGTGTGTAGCATAGACCTGTGTGTATTGAGATTGCACTCTGGATTTTTCTGTGTATCTGTGTATAGATTTCCATATCTTACGTCAATGTTACAGGTACTTCTGGTTTGATTCTCTCAGTTCCTAAGCTCCTGTTTGGTCTCAAATGTGACCTTCAGAATAGTCTTAAAGAGGCTTTACTTAACTTAAAATATTATCCTATTTAACATCTTAGATTGGAAGAACTGGCAATATTTAGCCATATATGCACTCTTAGCATTTTAAATTGTACTTGGGAAATACACAGAAAAGAATGTAACTTCCATGACTCATGTGTTATACTTGTTAAATTCAATCCCAATCTCATTTTTGAAATATACCCATAGCATTAATTCACTTTTATGGGATTAGTAAAATAACATGATTAATCTGTTACTAATTGAATTGTGGCGCTTTCTGCAGCTATTAAATACTCTGTATGGAATAGCTTCTTGAACAACTTTTAAAATGAATCCATAAAAATGAGCCCATGATGTTATTTCCAGCCTTTCAGTAAGTTAAAAAAATATATAGTTTGATGTCTTCATTCAAATGTTCTGTCCCTGAGCTTTACCATTCCCCCACAGTTTTTAGAGATATAATTTATCATTTATTGGTTTATTAAAGTAATATTGATTTATAACCTCAGGAGTTGATATCTTGAACAACTTTCCAAAATAATAAGTTTTTCCTTGAAATAATAGATTTTCATTATTCTTATCTGTTCATTTTTTGTTCACCTAAGTTTTTAAACACTCAACTCTTCAAAGTATGACTTTTTCTTTACATAATTAAATCTTACAGCATGGTATATTTCACCAAAGAGCTTCTATCATCAGAATTGAGTATTTCCAACACTGAAGTAGAATCACTTATAGATAGTTAGATGTTGGTTAGCTTTATTTTCTGAATATTTATCTAGGCCCTTACTCTTCCTTTTGTCTTCTTTCCTTCTTCTCTCACTGTGCTATTCATATCATTCTCTTGCCTCGCTCCCACTCCCCCTCCCACCCCCCATGTTATTTCTGTTAAGTTACACTACTATCTTTTTACTACCATGGACAGTTCTAGAATCTTTCTATAGCCCATCTTGTATTTGTGAGATAGTTAAATATCTAGTGATAGATCTAAGACTAAAGTCAGGAACTGTGAAATATGAATACATTCTCCTTTTTCCATGTCTGAATATCATGATGAAAGGGTTATAAAATCTAGAAATTACCTTCATATATGTTCTGATGAAACATTAGTTCTTGCCAAAAAGAGACATGTCAGATGAGGTTTTATGTTTGTTATAAATGAAATGAAAAATCAAATTGTTCATAAAAAGTTTAAGAAATCGTTGATTTATTATCTCTCCACACTGCAGTAGATCGACAGAGGAATTAGTATTTAAAATGCCTCTGACTGGTAAGTTTTATGATTATCCTGTGACCAAAACAAATTACAGTAATTCTCATCACTATAGAAATCCTCAGGAAATTCATCATGTGGGTTTTTTTTTTTTAAGATTTATTTATTTATGCATACAGAACTGGGGTACAGACCAGAGATGTGGAGGCTGAGAGAATTCACCAGGGACAGAGTGGGGAGCAGGACAGGCAGATTGACAAAGGACACTGCTGAGGGGAGCGGGGGGGGGGGGAGAGGGTCAGGAGAGGTCTGCCGCACCGTGTGGTCACCTCCGGGGCAGGCAGGGATCAGGGCAGGCAGGGATCGAACTCATGCAGAAGTGGCTTAAGCTTTTTAGTGCAGTTCTTTAACCCGCTGCACCACCAGGGAGGGCCTCATCATGAGGTTTTAAAATCACCGGTTCTGAGCAGGCTTTGGGTTTTTCCTATTAGAAAGTGCTTTTAAGTAGTAATTTTTTTTTACTTAATATTTATCCTTTTTCTTTTTTATTTCATATATGTATTTTTTACATTAGTCTTTTGTGCATTTTTACATCTCAGCTGTAATCCCCACCACCACTTAACCCACATGCCAGCACCATAGTCCCATGTGCTCTTCCCACCCCAGTGTTGATCTTGTTCACCCCTCTCTGGTTTATAGCTGTTAGTTGATGTTCTTTTTTGCTTTATTACAATTACTACATATATTTTTTTTTCTGATTCCTCTTAAGTAGTAATTTTTAGATAGTTTCTGTAATAGAGATGCTAGAAAGGAGGAATTCTGTCTTAAATATAGTAAATCCATTGTATCTCTGGAATAGTAATTTATCATACAAAAGTGTGTAAAAACAGTTTGCTTCCAAATGAAGGCTATATTATTCAGCTTATGCTGTCAGATTGTATAGCAATAATTTACCCAAGGTATATCTGAGTAACATCAGAGTTTAGAATTTTATGTACTTCTGATTATTCCTCTACATCATATCATGGAATTCATTTCAAGACCTTTCAACTTAGCACCTAATATGAAGAGCCTACAATATTGAAAAGCCTGGTTTATTTCATTATATTGGTTTTTTAAAAAGATGTGACTATTAATTTAAAATGCCCATCCTTTAAAAACAAGAAGAAATCATTCCATCCTGGAGCGATAGGTGTTTTTGTGAAAACTGGAAGCCCTACAGCAGTTGATTGCTTCTAGGTAGGGTTTGGATTTCTGAAACATGTTGAGATTTTATATGTGTATTACCCTCCCCAAACAAAAATAGGTAGTATTTGTACAGCTGCACTCATTTAACTGTTCCTTTTTCTTGGTGTAGATTTTGTAAAAGAGTTTATAAAGCCCACAGCCTCCTTGTGCTCGCTATGGGATGAAAGCTAGGTAGGTGCTGGCAGGCTGTGAGTGTTGCTGGCTGGGCATCTGAGGTCATGTTGGTTCTGGAAAGGTGATCAGCTCATCCCTGCATGTATATTGATGGCAGCCCTTGCTAGATCTCGTATCTGTATCTAGTACAGTACATTTTTCATCGCTTCCTTATATCATAGGCTGTTCTTTGACATTCTTGTAACATTCCCCTCCATTTTAACTTAATTGCCTCTTCTTCATATCACCTCCTGGAGGCCTCTCCTCTTTGCCTCCTCTTGTTGCCCCAGCCCCCCACCCCTGCCCTGTCCCCTCAGCACTTTCCATTCCCGAGTAAGCTAAATTTAATTTAGAAGGACTTTTTAAAGATTTATTTATTTATGCATACAGAACTGGGGTATAGGCCAGAGGCTCAGGGGCAGCGAGAGGCTTCACCAGAGACAGAGTGGGGAGCAGAACGAAGTACACTGCTAAGGGGAGCAGCGGGCTGGTCAGTGCTTCTCCATTCCCATGTGGTCACCTCCGGGGCAGGCGGGAATCGAACTCATGAGGAAGTGGCTTAAGCTTCTTAGTGCTGTGCTTTAACCCGCTGCGCCACCAGGGAGGGACTAGAAGGATTTTTTTTTTAATGATAGTTTTCCATAGTTGCATTAAACATTTCTTATTTTAAATCATGTCCTTCAGGTGCTTCTGTCTTTTTTCTCTATTTTATAACAATCGTTATTTTATGGGTAGACAAGATTAATAGTTAAAAATTAGCTTCTTGGGCTCTCCCTGGTGGCGCAGCGGGTTAAAGCACAGCACTAAGAAGCTTAAACCACTTCCTCATGTGTCTGATCCCCACCTTCCCCGAAGGTGACCACATGGCCTGGCAGACCTCTCCTGACCCGCCCGCTGCTCCCCTCAGCAGTGTACTTCATCGATCTGCCTGTTCTGCTGCTCCCCACTCTGTCCCTGGTGAATTCTCTCACCCTCCACATCTCTGGTCTGTACCCCAGTTCTATACGAATAAATAAATCTTAAAAAAAAAAATTAGCGTTTTTAGAAGCTGAGCTTTGAGATGGGCCTCCCTGGTGGCCCAGGGGCTAAGTCTCTGCTCTGTCACTGTCACTGCTTGGCCCAAATTCTGTGCACAGCCAGGGAGCTAACCCACCCATGGGGCACTGCTCCGATAGTATTTTGGTGAATTTGCCTCCTCTGCTTGTGCCCCACCCATGAATCTTCTCCCCTTTCCCTCCACTCCCCATTTGTTCCTCTGCCTACAACCCAGTTCTCCTGCACAAGAGAAGGAATGGGAGGGAGGGAAGGAATAAGGGAAGAAGGAAAGGAAAGCAAGCAAGCAAGCTAAGCCTTAGAAAAGAGTGTTTTGCATAGGTTTATCTAGATGAGCCAGTTTTCTAAAGGAGGAAGCCCTAAAAGAGAAGTTGTCTCTTGTATTGTTGATGAACTTCAGAATTTTTTTCTCTTTTTTTTAGATTCAATTTTACAATTGGCTTTGCTACTACTTAATCAGAAGAGATGATGTTAGATTTATTTATGTTAAATCATCTGACTTTCTGTAGCTACTATAGTACTCATCTGTGTATCAAAATGGCTTTCTGAGGAGTACATCTGTTACTGGTCACTCCATCTTTTACATTTTAAACTTAATGGTTACCCAGGACACAGTGACCTAGAACTGGGAAGGGTATAAAATGTGGGTGTGTGTATATGTATGTGCACAGTATAAAAACACTACTTTTAGAGTCGGCTGGTATTCCGAAAACAAATTCTTTTAGAAAGCAGGGTAGGATTTTAAAACACTTTTGCTTGATCGGCTTTGGTATTTATTTGGAGGGAGATGTTTTCAAGAAGGCAAATACCAAACAGCTTTCTAGGGTGGTGGATGAGCCCTGATATCTCCCCTGCCCAGCACATGGGAAGGTGAGCCTTGTGTGCTATCTTGAGTAAATTGGCAAGCTATTAACATTCATGAGGTGAAATAAAATTTATGAAACTATCATCTAAGAAATATAAGGATTTGCTGCTAAGAGCTCAAACAGTGAATCACTCACTACAGAAATAACTTCTATCCCCAAATGACATATACCTAGAGTAAAAAAAGCGCCTCTGAATATTGTTGACAGAGACCTCCTGCATGATTTTATTTTCTTTAAAGTACTATGTGTATTTAGCTGCTGGGGGATAAAAGAGAAATTTATGTTGCTCTTTTTACCTTATTTATAAGGAAATAAGCATATCCAGTCTTTCACTCAGTCTGCTTAAATAATATTGAAAATTAATAATCAGGGTAATAGCAACTAATGCCACACAAAAGAGGACAGGACATACCTCATTCATTGCTCACAGCGGCACTCTCAAATGCACTAGTACTGTGCCCACTCCACAGGTGAACTGAAGTGTGTGACTGAGACATGAAGAAAACGAACTTGTCTAATATCATGTGGCTAGTAGGTGACAAAGCTGTGATTTAATCTCACCGGTCTAAACGTGGCTTTCTTCTCTGCTGATCTGAGCTGCTGATTAGTATCTTTAGCGCATGAACTTGATTGAACCTAGCATTACTTTTCCTATCCCCCATAATAATGACCAGTTTATTATGGTCATTAATAAACTCTTAAATATTATTTAAGCCAGTAAATATAAAAGAAGTGTTCTTTTTGCTACTTTTTGAAGAAGACGTTTTCTCTGTCTTTTATTCATCTATTCTGATCTAAAAAGAAATTTGTATGTCAAACTCTTTTCCAAAAATTGTCTTTAAATTTGTCATTAGTAAATTTCTGTTTCACTAACTCGTGGCTTCAGGTACACTTGCTCTGTTTCTTCTAGAACTAAGTAGAACTTAGTTCTTCTAGAACTAAGTGTGCTTGATAATTTGGCCACATCATACTTCCTTGAAGGAATAGATATACCATGCAGCTTTATTTAACTATTTAATGATCAAAAATTATTAAATGGAAATGTTTTGTGGATTTTAGAGTTAACACTATAGAAATGGATGTGCATGTGAACGGCACAAGAATTCCAGTCCATGCTATTGTCAAGAAGTCATGAAGTTAAAATATACACCAGAAAAAAGCTTTCATATTTGAAATAACTTTAGATTTAAAGGAACATTGCAAGGTTAGAACAATTCCATATAGTCACTACCAAGTCCTAATAAACTCATAAATTTAGAATAATTAGAATAATACTTCAATATAAAATAACATACATAGCTAAATTGACTGTTTTACTCCTATTTTGATGTTCTATAGCTTCCATAAAAATATCAGACTGTACTTAATTTCTGTGGCGGTCACTATACCATTATATAAAGTACTGCTTAAAAAAAATCAAACTACTTGATATTTCTAATGTTCTTGTAGAACAAGTTTGACATACTCAGAATTTATCATGGATTGAAAGATGATAATATTTATAAAAGCTAAAGTGACTTCTTCCTCAAATCCTAAACATATAAGCCTTTATTAAATCCTAACTGGAAGACATGTGCATACTTCAGCTATTGAGACATATATACATATGTGTGTGTATATACACACACATACATACATACATACATACATACATATATATATATATATATATATACTTAATGAATTTATAGTTAATAATGTATAAAGTATCAAAGGTTTCATGTCACTTCCATGAACATGTAATTGTGGAGCCTAGCATTTCTAGGTCAACCTTATTAATATAACGCTTTTTTCAAAGTTTTAATAAGCATGATAGGCAGCATAGGATTTTATTTGAAGCAAAACTTGTTTTTCCTTTCTAAAAAGTGTGTGCTAATTCTGTTGTTTAACTGAGTACCAGTGAATCCATTTTAATGATACCTTCCTGCTTCCATCCATGTCAAATCCATATGATCTAATTTGTATGAAAAATTTTGATGCTTAGTGAGATATTTAAGAAGTAATTAGCTGTGAGAAACTGGTTAGCTATGGAGTGAGATTCATTGTTGAAAAGTAGTAGAAAAACCTGTGTGAAAATTACATCATCCTAACATTTGATGCTCAAACTGCTAATTGGACTCTTGAAAAGAAAACTACCAAATATGATTTATGTTCTTTACCAAAATAAAATATGCCATAGAAATACCCATAGTTTATGTGTGCTGGACACAGGGGTCCAAATATCATATTGTGTAGTGAAAGCAATAAAATTACTTTGGCTTTCAGCACATAAGGCATTTAGGACAATGACCTTCTGTTTTCCTTGGGCTTTGATGATTGGCTTTGCTATTTTTGTTTATTTTCTATAAGTGAAATGCTCAGCCTTTCAGAATTATGTTTCTGTCAAGAAGCCAAGAGAATGGGCATTGCTTACTTCCATTCTGGGTAATGACACAACAGTGCTCATGGTACTTTCCCCCTCTCTCCACCCACTCCTTATCCTTTTCATAGATGCACATCGGGAATTCCTTCACAGGCCTGCTTCTGGATACGTGCCAGAAGAGATCTGGAAGAAAGCTGGTAAGAATTGTTTAAAAACATGAGTTTAGTGTTCTGGCAGCTGTGTGCAGTTGTTAATGCAGTGATGTGAAGCATGACAAGAAAGGACTATACTGCTAACAACAACTAAAATCAAACAAAACACCCCCACCAAAAAACAAAGTTTTAAAATCCTGATTAATATTCTTAAGCCTGGCCTGATTAGAGTATGAAATAGTTTTTATTTTAGTGGCTTTCAGTAGTGCATATTGAAAATCTGGCAATATTTCCATTATTACCCCTATTTATAAGGGACATGAGTGGCTTCAGGATGAAACTTGGCATGTAAGGGCTAGGCTTTCATGTAATTTTTCATCATGAAAAAGAAACTTGATAAATTATCAGTTAAGTTGCATTTGTAAACCTTTCTTATGAACTCTTTAAAAACTCACATCAAATCTAGTTGATGTGACTTGTTGAGGCACTCAGAAATGTCACACTCAGAAATGTCATTACAACCAATTTTTAACATCAGTCCTTTGTGCTCACATTAAATGAGCAGAGCTAAATTATATTTTAAGTTAAATGACAATGTTGCTAAACTTTTTGTTTACCTACACACTATCTGATTTTCATTAAGATGCATCGTTCTACATTTTGCAGTAGATATTAAGTGCCCAATCACTCATTACCTGTCAGTCTTAAAGAAGTTCAGAATCTTGGTAATACTTAGCACTTTAATTGTGGAAGCAAAACTGAAAAAAACAACCCAGGAGATAGATAAAACAAAAATCTGTTACAAGACTTATGATGACATGGCAAACACATACTGTGATATTGAGTTCCTGTAACTCCAGCTACTAAGATAGCTGGAGTTGAAAACCTGGTTTATGCTATTCCTGCAGCTGGACAGGTGGTGGGTAAGAGGAGCAGGAGTTAAAGGGGATGGGGGGGGGCTCATTTTAAATGTAAGATTTCTCAGGCATATGATTTAATTCAGCCACATTTAGTTCTATCCACTTTATTGAGGTTCTATACAACTTGCTAACTCTGGTAACTTGGTTCTTTTCATAGATTTTACTAAAAAATACCTATTTTTATAAAAGTGACTTTCAAAAAAACTGGTAGATTCTAGGCTTAGTCAGTTATATACAGGACCTGGGAGCTCTCATGCTTGTCCGAAATGCTAATTAGATAGGTCCATTTGGCTGGAAGGTTGAATATATATGTTACTTAGCTTTATAGTCTTTCTCAATTTATAGTATCAACTCTAAGAAGATTTTCTATGTGGGTGATTGTCATGGGCTACTTTTACACTTTTAAGATGTGCTGATGGCCACCTTCCAGGGAAGAAATTATTATATCTTCTTTCAGACCATTTTTCTCTTCCATTTTGAAACTGTCAGCACAACTTACTGCAATGTGAGGTGCAAACAATTACCATTTTGGACAGCAGAAGGATGACTTTTTATGTTGAGAAAGTCTTTGCTTTTCCTGATTTCTGTGTATTTAAGTTAAACCCATGATAGTTCATAAAGACAAATTGACAAGAAAGTCTTGAGTAATCCAGATTTCTTCTGTGCTATTATCTGCTCAAGTCTTTGTTGGACAGCTATTTTTGGAGAGCAGGTTTTTCTGAGTATACCACTTTGTTGGAAAGTCAACTTGAATAGCTATGCACAAAGTCCTACCATTACGTGGTAAGCAATTGAAAGCATATTCAAAACTGCACTATGTATTTTCCACTTAGTTTTTTTTTTTTTTTAAACATACTGCAGTCTGTTGAATCACTATTATTTGTATTTTTCTTCACTGTTTTGTTGGGTTTTGAAACCAGGTCTGGGTAGACTTTATCAGGTAGTGAGAATAATCATGTTTTTGTTGTGGACATGTGTACTCTGAGTCTGGTCAGACCTAACCTTATCAAGTAAATGGCTGCATTATTTTTATATATGCCTATCTACATTTGGTCTTTTATCTAGAATAAGACTTGAAAGAGGTCCACTGTAGCTATATTCTTATAGCGGTATCCCTAACCTTCTGCATGAAAATCAGTGTTCCTTGGAAGGAGGCTAGATTTTAAATCCTCACAGTACAGATGACAGTTTCACCTGGAAATTTCAAATAGCTGCTTATATTTATGCTTGTGTGCTTCTTAAAAACCATTTCTAGTGTTCATAATATCAAGGCACCATAAAAACATCAAGGCTTGTCAAAATTTGAAAACATTTCCCCCAGATTCTACAATTTGCTAAGGGCATTTTTTTTTTAAAAGAAAACCTTTAGTGTATACCTGCAATAATATTGTTTATCATTGCAATTGTTATTTTAGTGGGAAAAACATTATTGATTGAAAAATATCAAAAGGGTAGAACTCTGAAAACTCCTTTATCAGAGAAATTAAAATTACAGTATATCATGTGCTTCACAGCACACATAACATTTGACACCATTTTATTTTGACTTTAAACTGTCAGAAATATTGCAGAAAATGTACAAAGCAATCCCATTAAAACTTTCATCCACCTTTTATCCATTTGCCATATTCACCTTAATATACTCCACTTTTCTTTTCTTCTTCCCTTCCTTTCTTTCTGTTATATTATCTTCACCCATTTGAGAGGAAGTTGCAGGGGTGATTTTCTTTTAACCTAAATACTGGAATAGCTATTATTGTCTTACTTACAAATGCAGTACAGTTACCAAAATCAATACAATAACATTGATAAAAGATATTTAATCCTCGGACCTTGAAAGAATTTTGCACGTTGTCCCAATATACAATATAATAGTAAGACAACTACCTTTTAAAATTTTTGAAATCATAGCAAATGGTAAAGGGAACAACAGTGGTCCCCTACAAGCAGTATTTTTAAAAGCAACTGGAAAGGTAACAAAATGCATTGTAAATTTACAAAGGCCTTTACAAAACTGAGGGAGGAAAATCTAACATAAAGATGGATTTTAAATTGCAACTGAATGATTTCTTCAGTATGTTTCTTTTTCAAATGATCAGTGAATGTTTGCAGTTGGTAATAAATATTCAAGCACCTTGCAAATGTCCTACCAATTCTCTTTGCTGATCTGTATATGCCTGTGGGATTAGAATAGGAATGCATAATTTAAATATAAATTGCCTGATTTGCATACACAATTAGTCAAGCTACAGCTTTGATCGTAAGCAAAAATTATTGTCCTGTATTACCACTTAGATAGAATTTTAATTCACCTTGAATATTCAAACTAAATTAGACCCTGGCTGTATAGTTAGAAGGGCAGTACTTCCCTGGTGCCCCAAGTTGCTTATGATGGGTAATAAAGGCATCTTTCACCCCCCTGGTGAAGGAGTTCCTGTAAGCTCTGTGCAATACTTTATCTAGATTTTAAATGCATATCTTACAGCAAGTAATTTAGGCTTACATATGTTAGTTAATATTTCCAGTATGGATCTTCCCTTATATTTTAACTTATGCGACCTGGTAGACAGTAACTGCAAATCAGTAAACTTTAACAGAAATAATGATGTTAAAATGACAGGAGGCCACAAAGTCATGACAGCTTATTACTAGTGGAGGGTTTTTGATGGGCCAATATAGATGTGTGAAATAAACCACATAAATTTAAAGAAACCATAGGAGTACTTGCATCTCTTACATTTTTAATCTACAGTAAAACATTTTTATTAGGAATCTATGTTTTTAATTAAACAGAACATTTAATTAAGGTGCTTTTTAAGTGGGTGAAACAATTAAGTGCAAACACTTGAATGAAACATGTCATAATTAGTTTTAATAGAGTGTTAATTGGTACTAGGTTTGCCAAGTTAATAATTACTGCTTATTAAATTTTCAATTAATCATTGTCATTTTGCTTTGAATAAAGATGAAAATTAGATAAACTAATTCAGAGGGAGGATATTTTTCCCCTTGTTAATTAGAACAGTTAATTTTAAAAATGGAAATTACTTGTTTTAGTTGTCAATCTTATGTTGTACATTAGTCAAATCTGTGTACCCTTCCCACAGTCAAAAGTAAGGAGTTAATTTGACACCTTGCAGGTTTACAGTAAAGCTTGATCGTTCGGGTCTATGTTGTGATCCACTTGTACTTGTTTACTGCAACAGCTGGCTATGAGAAATCATGTATATCTGTAAGAATGGTGAATATATCAAAATGGTGAAAAAACCTTGGGAAATGAGAAAATTATATTGAAAAAGAGATCCCTATCAGTTACGCTATGAAACACATAACCACATTACTTAGAAATAACTTAAGAAAAAGAAAACCAGGATCATTGTCTATTTTCATTTCGATTTTCTTTAAACTGTCTACACGAACTAAGTTGCTATTTGAATTCCCTTTTAACTAATATGCTATGTTGCTATTTGAATTGCCTTTTTACTAATATGCTATATTTTTGACCAGAAGAACAATTATTTGAACATATATGTGTTGTATGTATGAAATAAACTCCTTCTCCTGTCTTGAAGACTGTAACATGTACTTCTTAGGCCCATCCTAACCTGTAGCATTGTGACAAAGGACCTTCTCAGTGTGGTTGAATTATCCTGACTGTTTTCTTGAGATTATTTTTGACCATCAACTCCTTAGTGTGGTCCCAGACTCCTTTATGAATGTGTGCTTGTTTGGTAGGCAAGCTGTAGTTAGTGATACAACATTTAAAGAAAGAAAGAAAAAAAAATCTATTTACCTATGGAAATTTCAGAAATCTGATGCTTTAGGTAGTCACAGGGATGCGCAGTCCCTGGTTTCGGTAGATTTCTATTTAATAGCGATCCGTTTCCAAGATTGGCGCTAATAGAAATGTTCTCTTGTCTGATTTGGCTGCCCCCTCGCAGAGGAGGCGGTCAACGAGGTGAAGCGCCAGGCGATGACCGAGCTGCAGAAGGCCGTGTCAGAGGCCGAGCGGAAAGCCCACGACATGATCACGACGGAGCGCGCCAAAATGGAGCGCACGGTCGCTGAGGCCAAGCGGCAGGCGGCGGAGGACGCGCTGGCCGTCATCAATCAGCAGGAGGATTCGAGTGAGGTGAGGCCTTAGCTGGCTTCTCAGTGAAGAAGATAGTTTCCACCAAGTACATTGTTTGGGGTTGATTTCCATGAGCTCACACATGAAAGCGATATTGGACATAGACACAAATCTTGGGGTGGGGTGGGAATTTGAATAAATTTGGGGGGAGGGCCCCTTGGTACATATGAGGACTGACTAAATCCTTTTCTGATTAAAAACCCAAAAGAACTCTGCCAAAAAAGGATTTTCATATATTTCCTGGGTAACAGAGTAAAGTGAAATCCTTCTAACTTCCTAATAACAGACTCAAAACTCAAGCTGTGTGTATGTGTTTGTTAGCATATGTGCATGGTTTTCTTGAAACAGAAGGGATTTTATAGATATCCTCGGTAGGTGGTGCTGTCCAAAGACATTTCATGCCGGGGGTGAAAGTCCCTTCTTTAAGTCCAATGCTAAAACAATGCTTGCATCAATTAAAATTTTCCAAGAGCCTTCTGCATTCTGTTTTTCCACATTATGTATAATAACGCTTGTGATGGTCATTTTCATAGCATAACGTTGCTGTCAGAGGTAATAGTCTTGCATAGTATTGTAGTAGTATGTTACAGCGCACACATGGAAAGACAGAGGTCCACATCTCAACTGGCTCAAGGAGGTGGGAAGTTGCTAATATGCAACATATAACAGAACACTTTCTAATATAGAGCCTGCAATATGTTAATCTCTGCATTAATTAATAAAACACCACAACTCCCCAAACCCAGAGTAGCTTTACATAAAGAGCCACAGTCAGCTACTCATATCAAGCTGACCTAGCAGAAGCATAAACTGATAAATCAATGGTCTACTACAATCCATATCTATAATTTGTGAGGGAGAGTAAGAATTTAATTTGTACCAGGCTTCTCTCTAGATGAAAGACCCTGCGGGAATCACTCGATGCCCAGAGTTTCTGTTTAATGTGTAGCAGATGAATAACAAGGGGACAAAAGGAATTGATTTTCAACATTTGAAAGTTTCTCAGGAAAAGAGGGACAAAGGGAAGTTTATCTACCCTTTAACTGCTGACTTTTCCATTGTTGAATTAAGCTAGATATAAATTCAATTTTATCGGTCTCTTGTGGCTATGATATTTAAGGACCTTGTTTTGTTTTGTTTTTTTTTTTTTTAGAATTAGCATCTTTTATAGAGAATTTGTCCTGCTTTATTCAAGTAATACTATGAAGCACAATTGTTGCCATCATTAAAACATTATCACTTTCACATCAACGTTTTAGGGCTATTAATGTACGTGAAGAAGATTTTGTAGGTCACTGAATTCTATGGAGAAATGTCTTGGAAGAAATTGAGAATAAGTCTTTGTATTTGGCAATGATTTGCTGTATCCTTTCAGTGTCTAAGGGTTTCATGCTTTTATTCCTAAAACCTTTCTGGAAAAATACATGGTCTTGACGCTAGTAGATAGAACTTAAAAAGACAGTGTATCAGCAAGTAGGTATGATAAATAGTAGACCGGATGAAATAACCTCAATATGAGTAATGTTCTTTGCTAATCATTTTTCATTTCTTTTTTTGAACCCCTGGCTTACTGATCGTGCCCATATAGCACTACCCTTGTCTTCTACAACACTTTGCCCCAAAGACTGGCAATTAGAAAGGGTTGGGCATTCGGAGGACCAAATTTAAATCCTGGCTCCCTCTCTTACAGTTCTATGATTTTGAGAAAGCCACTAAATTGCTAAATGTTTTGGCAGAAACCCCAGGACATAACAATTTGATTATGTTACAGGTGAGGAAATCACTTGGCAAGGGTTATCCAGCCTAGGAAATGACAGATTCTAAACTGAAACTCATGACATGCTGTCTATCCTTTAAATTGTTCCATAAAAAAGAAATAAAGATCACTTAACAATAAGGATACAGCTTTGAAGCCAATATATTATTTTTCTTCTCCCTGCTCATTCCTCACTTAAAAATGCACACCATTTAATAGAAACAAGGTGATAAAAGCCACTTCAACAGTGGCTATAGTCACCTCAGGTCTAGAATGTTCTCTATGCCCCTCTACCAAATGAAGCAGAGTAGTCCTCACAAGCTAGGCCCCAAGGTGGGAAAGCTTTTACGGCTGCACTGCTTGAACTTGAACTTGAAGATCTAAAAAAGAAAGGGTACAAGTACTGCATAGAATTTTTTTTTTTTTTAATTCAAGGGCAGGGGTGGAGAGCATCTCTTGAATATCCATTCAACCCCAAGTAAGTCCCTAAATCATTGTGTCTTGGAAACTTTATGAACTGTTTTGTTTTCTTAGAATAGAAAGTCTGACCATCATAGTAATGGTTGACTCAAACATATATTTCCATTAAATATAGGAGGCATTGATTTTACAAGTATACTCAGAAATTAATGGGTAGTCTTTTAAAAAATGATTGTGACCTTCCCTGGACAGTTTGTTATTTGATACTTAAAACTCTTAATCACCTCCAATCATTTACTCATTCTTTGGAAACAGATGATTGAATTGTTATTCTATGTTAGGGATAGTGCTAGGTGCTGATGGTACAGTGGGCATTGCTGTCATGTTGAATACAATTCACTGGAGGAGTCAAATCACTAAATTGAGTCCCCTTAGAGGCTACTGTGAAGGTTTCTGCAGAGAGTTTGATGTGTGACAAAAAGATAATCAGGAACTAGTCAGCAGCTTTCTTCCTCCTACTTCAACCCCACTGTCTTGTCACTGCTTCCCCAGACTGTGGGCACGAAAAACACAAAAAAGATGGAGAGAGACTTTACCAAGCTGCTAAGTAGGCTGGCTGTGTGGCTAGTGTTTTGGAAAGATCCCTGAGGCTGCAGAGTGGAGAGAGGTGAGAAGAAATGAGAGAGACCAGTCTGTTTCAGGAGTCATGACAGGAGATGTTTAGGTGAAGGTGGTAGGTAGTGGCACTGGGAGCGGAGAAAATTGGAAGTGGTGGCTGGTTGCTGTGAGGTAGATAGAATGAACAGGATGCGATGATTGATGGCAGCTGTCACAGAAGAAGAGGGAGTTGTGGTTACTCAGTGGAAATGCAGGGTTCAGAATGTGAGCTTCAGGTGCTTACTTGAACTGTCAAAATCCTGCTGCTTTGTTCTGCCCAAAGTGTGTGGGTGGAAAGTTGAGGAGATTTACCTGGATTTATTACTTAACTCAAAGAATTTAAGTATTTGGCTTTGCTCTAAAGCTAGTAAGTGATGTAATTACAAATCAAACCCAAGTCATTCTGACTCTGGAGACATTTGGAACAGGAAACCATATCCATTACACCCCAGGATACCTTGTCTTTGATGCTTGAAAGGTCCTAGTCCACCAGGCTCTGAGAAGGATCCGAAATTGACAAAATGTAGCATTTTGGAAAGAGTATTTGGTTTCTGTCCAAAGACCCAGATGAGTCAAATGCTGGCTATGTCATGTCATGTCTGTGTGACATAGTCCTTTACTGCAAAAGGTATTTTACTCTCCGTGCCTCACTTTCCTAAGGTTCAAAATATATGAACGTGGTTTTAAACTGTCAAGTGCAAAGCAAATATATGATAGTGTGATTTTGGTGTGAATTAAGGTAATGTGTTTACTGCTAATGTAGAGTTCTTAACATTTGGGAAATTTTAATTATAATCATTCTACTTAATTTACTTGTATGCAAGGATTTTTCTGGAGAAGCATAGGTATGTAAAACTTGCAGAAACTTAAAAGTACAAGAGATGAAAATGTTTTGCTTCTCAGAAAAGGAATTTCTAACATAAGAACCAAAAATGACTTATTTTGCGAATAGAAGATCATTTTCTGTGTATCTAATAAGAAGAGAATAATAGAGAATAATTTTGTTTGTAGGAATGAGTAAAATTATTGATATAAAAAAGTGTCAGCAGTCTTTACCATGTAACTTTGGCAGTCAAAAGCTCCACTCTGTCATTTCCGTTTCTATCTGCAGTGATGGGGAGGATTGAATTCCACCTCAGATTCTTCATCTGCATCGTAGCCTAATTGGGATCAGTAGGCTGATTCCCACTTTTCAAATTTCAGACAAAATACTCTTTAGGCTATAAAGCAAATGACACCATGAGTAAGGGAAGCTGGTAAAGTGTCATGAACTTTGTTAACAAAATTGTCATAAAATGCATTCTGGAACCTGCTAAACCAAGTGGTCACTCAGTCACCAGCATTATTCCTTAGAGGACTAAAAGCAAGTGGTGTTAAATGAAAAAGGAAGGAAAAGAATGAAGGAAACATTATCAGAAAACACTATTCTGAATATGAAAAACACAAATAGGGGTGGGGGAGTGGGGGACATGAAATTTGAATAAGACATTGACTGCCTCTATCCCTTCTTTATGGAATACCCTGGGTGTGGCACACAATTTGCAATTTCCACCTCTGTGAATAGCAGAAAGCTTAGAAATAGAAAATGAGCCACTTAGATTACTCCCAGTATCCTGCACATCCCTCTGTTCCCAGGAGGCGGCTGTGGAGGGGCTGAGAAGTCCCCTTGGCAGGCATCAGGCTTGCAGGCATGGATTAAGCATAAAGAAATGCACTGGCGTCATCCACTAGAAATACATTAATAGAACTTGCTTGCTTTGTTTCCTAATAAGCTTTTAAAAAAGGAACATGCACTTTGGAGTTACCTGTTAGCCAAACACTTGCTCTAAAGTTAGCTACATTCATTTTCAATACAATATCAAAAGCAGTAAAAATTATGTAGGATTTTCCCCACCAACTCATTTGAATTACTCTTTGTTATACCTTGCTGCAGCTGAAGGTTGTTTTTGTCCCAGTGGTGGGTGGTAAGTGAATAGGATCAAACAACTTCAGAATGGAAGTAGAGGTAAAACTTAGCCAGGGCCCTTGAATCCTGGGTCAGAACCCGGTGATGCTAGGCAAGAAGGCTCAATTACCAGCAGCTTCACGATCCAAAACATCTGTTTCTGTATCTGGCATAATTCCACTTTTTTATTTGTAAAATTGTTCCCATCTTTCAAAACACTTTTAAAAATAAAGAAGTCCCCATTCTGTCTCTTCTTTCCAACACATGCTTTTGTAATTACCTGGTTTAGTCTGTGTGTTTAATCAGCTTAAATTGAGAATGTTGCCTGCATCTGATTTCAATCTGAAGGAACCATTGAGTACTGGGCAGTTACTACCCTTGCGTCTGCCAAAATGTGTCTGTGCCAGAAAAAGGATAGGACTCACACCAGGGTACTTCCTAAAGAAGCCACTTGACTCAGATTAGATGTTTAATTTCCTTAAAATATTGTTTTGGATCTGAGTCTGTGTTCTCTAATTGGGATTTTCTGATGTAATTTAGGAATATCGCTTATTTGCTGATTGTGTTCCAGGATCCAGCTGGCAGTACTGTAAATGCTTAAACCTCAAGGAAGTAGACTTCATTCTGAGCGCCCACTGTCAGGACATGCGACATCTGACCAGTCTTTGTGGAACCATGCACATGCTATACCTTGAACTAATATTGAGAGCAAAGGTTTAAAACTTTTTGAGAAGGTTTAATGTTTCTAGTTATAGCTAAGAAGCCTCTGGTGAGAGATACACATCTTTTGAGATGACTTCCTGTAAGTCAAACTGAAGTAGAAGAAATTACTTTAGTACTGATTATTCACTTTAATTCCATTTTTATCTGTGACATTAAAATGTCAGCCAAATTTCTGGATTTTTTCAACTGTCTACATATAAAGCACTGCCCTTTGACTAGAACTGGAGATCTTGAGATTATTTTCCTCCTCTTTTCTTTGTATTCTAGATGATATAGAAATAGATAGGGAGAATACAGCTCTTTCTAGAAGTTTAAAAGCAGTGTTCTTGAATTTACTAACTTCTAACACTTGGCTCTAGGGACACCTTACTAGCAAAGTAAAGTGTCATGAACTTCATTAACAAAATTGTCATAAAATGCATTCTGGATAACTGCTAAGTCTTCTGCATAATTTGCACAGAGGTGAAGTGCATCCTGCATGATAGGCCGACTTGCCATTGGGTATTTTTAAATAGACTCCTAGCCCTCGAAGTTGCACGGCCAGCCTACTGAAAGAAAACGCAGGGCACACAGTGAAGAGATATTTTTGATCTTCATATTTATCAGGACTTTAAAAAATGTATTTTAATTGTGACACAACCATCCACTGTCAACTCATTGGAATTACCAGATAGAGTCATAAGGAAATTATCAAAATCACAGAAGATAAAGAATGAAAAGATGAAGGACACAGAACTAAGTTCACTTGATGTAGCATTTCACAATGGGGGAATTGTCTTGCCAAAGGAACTATAAATGCTGAAACTTGTTTTCCGAAGGTTCCCCCTTCACCAGGAGGGACCCTGAGGGAACCTATTATCAGTGTTCCCCCAGCATCTGACCCACATAGGCGCCCCTCCTCTATTAGGTGTGTGTATTCTGATTCAGGATGTGTTTATCTCAAAGTTTAAATCTCAGTAACTCCATTTGGGCTTTCTTCCTCTCTTGGAAAGTATCACATAAGATTGGCAGTGATTTTGCTAAGATCAGAGTTATTAGTTTGAACCAGTTTCTTCACTACCAGAGTTAACTGAGGTGCAGATGAGCTACAGAGGCACCCTACCTGCTAGAAAGCATTGTAAGAGACTCACCAGTTGGCCAGTTTTTCCTATTTCTAGTTTTTCAAAGTCAAAGTGGGCTTGGTCTGATTCATTCATTCATTCACAAATATTTATTGAGCACCTGGGTACTTAGATTAAATCAGAAAATAAATAAGGATCCTGTCCTTCATGGAACTGGGGAAAGGGGGGTTGTGAACTTTTTCTGCCATTTGTTAGATACACTGGATAACTGACACCAATTGGAAGACAGATTACAGTGTCTTGTCTTATTCTAGTCTGTGATGATGCAAGATAGAATCTTCTACTTCATTATATCTCATTGAATCTAATACAGGGTTCTTGTAGTTCCTTGTGATTCCTATTAGTACCTAATATGCTGCCTGCAGTGACATATTTCTGACTGGCCGTGATGGTATTGCTCTTTGGGGGGGGGGCATTTTAGTGCAGAAAATTTAGATGTGAGGTTAGCCAAGCCTAAAAGGAAGGGACCCGAGAGTAAAAATGAGAACTTTATCAAATCGTTTGATACCTCCTAGTTGGCAGAAAAGTATGGGTAATAGCACTACAACTGGAATTTGGGAGTTTAAGTGTCTGCTTTCCCCCCAGACATTAAATAAACCCCCCAGAGGAGCTCTCATTCTTAGTATATCCTTGAGAATAGGGGTCATGGCTGCCTAGGGTAGTTCAATGGACTTTTACCCCAGCACTGTATTAATTTGGCATCTTCCTTTCTTCTGCCTTCTCCTTTAGAGCTGCTGGAATTGTGGCCGTAAAGCGAGTGAAACCTGCAGTGGCTGTAACACAGCCCGATACTGTGGCTCATTTTGCCAGCACAAAGACTGGGAGAAGCACCACCACATCTGTGGACAGACCCTGCAGGCCCAGCAGCAGGGGGACACGCCTGCAGTCAGCTCCTCCGTCACGCCCAACAGCGGGGCTGGGAGCCCGATGGACACACCACCAGCAGCCACCCCGAGGTCTACCACCCCGGGGACCCCTTCCACCATAGAGACAACCCCCCGTTAGACCTGAGCTCAGAACTGTCGGAGGAAAAGACAACACAACCAACAAGAAACCAATTCCTCATCCTCAGATGCTCAAAGTTGTTTTTTGTTTGTTTGTTTATAGATGAACTATCCTATTTCAGTACATCAACAA